AACCTGGGATATGCAGATGATACAACTTTGCTTGCTGAAAGCCATGAGGACTTAAAATACTTACTGATGAAGATCAAACCCTTTGGTATTAGTTACGTCTCAACTTAAAACAAAAATCCTCACCACTGGACCAATTAATATACATATAAATGGAAGTATATCCCTTCCCAATCAATGTCAAGAAATTTGTTTACATCAGTGTAAAGAAATAAAATCCTCACCACTGGACCAAAAAATAACATCCATATAAACGGAGAAAAGATTGAAGTTGTCAATGACTTCATTTGTTTAGATCAACCATCAATACTCGTGAAGCAGCAGTCAAATCAAACAATGCATTGCATTACATTGCATTGGGCACATCTGCTATACAGACCTCTTTAAAGTGTTGAAGAGCAAAGATACTAGTTTGAAGATTAAGGTACACCTGACACAAGCCATGATATTATCGATAACCTCATATGCATGCAAAAAAAGTTGGATAGTTAACAGGGAAGATCATAGAAGAATTGATGCATTTGAGTTATGATGTTGGAGGAGAATATTGAAAGTACCATGGACTGCCAAAAAAAAAACCAAATAGATGTGTGTTGGATGAAGTACAGGCAGAGTGCTCCTTGGAAGCCAGAATGGCCAGACTTTTTCTTTCTTCGGACAGTCCATCTCCAACGAGATGGATTGGCACAGTGGCAGCAGCAGTGGATTCAGGCGTAGCAACAGTTGTGAGGTTGACCCAGGTTTAGGCAGTGTTTTGTTCTGTTGTGCATAGGGTCGGTATGAGTTGGCACTGACTATATGGCACCTAACAACAAGAGAGATAGGCCTATTCTTCCATATTGGAAGATTGTGGTTTTCAAATAAATATATCCTAAATTACAGAATTTATTGACAAAGTTATTCATTTTATCCACTACTAACATTTTCATGTCTGTAATGATGTCCCCTTTTTCACTTATGATTTTAGTAATTTGTGTTTATATATATATATATATATATATATATATATATATCAGTATTGTTAGTAGAGCACCGATTTTATTATCGTCTTTTAAAGAGAACTAACTTTTAACTTTACTGATTTTTATCTACTTACCTATTTCATCAAAATGTCTGCTGTGTGTTTCTTCTTTATTACTTTCATTCTACTTCCTTGATTTTAATTCATTGTATTTTTTCTAGTGTTTTAAAAAATAGAACCTTAGAGCATTGATTTTTAAACCATTTTTTCCTAACTCAGGCTTTTATAGCTATCAAGTACTATTTTAGCTATGTTCCACACATTTTCATGCTGTATTTTCAGTCATTGAATTCAAAATACTTTCTAGTATGCAATATTCTTTTACCCTTGGATTATTTTAAAACGTGTTGTTTAATTTCCAAACATTTGAGGGCATTATTATTTTTTTTATATAAAGCACTAATCGTACTGTTTAGTGTCCCTGAATGGTACAAATGATTAACACACTTGACTGCTGGCCAAAGGTTGGAGGTTGGAGTCTACCTAGCAATACCTCAGAAGAAATGCCTGGCAATCTACTTCTAAAAATCAGTCATTGAAAATCATATGGAGCAGTTTATACTGAGACACACATGTGGTCGCCAAGAGTCAGAATTGACTCGGAGACTTTTTTTTTTTTTTTTTTCTTTTACTGGTTCTGTTGTCAGAGAACATACGATCACATGTATTGAGGCTTCTGGACATGATGGATTTACCATGTCACTTTAGTATAAGTAGAAAGTGGGCCACAGATTGCTGGGAGCGATGAGGGTAGAGGACAGCTTCGATTTACTGCTTGACACAGTCCAGTGAATAGTAGAGTGGTCTGGAAAAACAGATAGCTCTCAGAAGTTGCTTTCTACCTTCTCTATAGAGTATTCTTAATTTTACTTATAAAAATATATAATTTGGCAATATTCACAGCTTTTCACTATGAATTCTACAAACCTTGGGTAAAACTAGCTTAGCAGCAATTGCTTTTAGCCTTGGTGGATTGAATACAAAGAGAAATTATGTAAGTTACTCCCTTTCATTAGAAAACCTAAGTAACTGCATTTGTGAGGCCACAAAATCAGATAGCATATTAGAGTCAAGCTGACCTACCCCCATAGGCCTCACCACATTCAGTCACTAGCTAGAATTCACAAACCTCTACATACAGACATCTGCATAAACAAGCAGACAATAATGGACTTAAGTGAAAGATAGTTTTGACTTAATAATCTACACTTCTTGCAGCAAGTAACCAGGTTGGGCTGTATGCCACATAGCTTCTAAGTGATTTAATGAATATCTTTATTATAAAAATAATAGCACATTATGTAGGATAGAAGTTTATAGTCTTTTAGTAGAAACAAGAAGAAACTGTTTTATCTCATACTGGGAAAGAACATGAAGGTCAGTCTGAACATCACAGAGTATTCTTGTTAAGGCTGTCTAAGGACCAAGTGCAAGAATGTTGTGACTAACCGTAATAATTCAAGAAATGATAAAAGTGTCAATGCATGTACTGTGTAATTTTAAGTATAAAAAATACAGACTTGCTGAGCTGAGCTGGCAGAGCTAGAAGACAGAAGTAGAGGGCAGAGGAGGAAGAAGCCAGCAGAGGCAGAATTATCAGAAGGCAGAAAGAAGCAGCAGAGAGCAGGAGGGAGAAGGCAGAAGGAACTGGTAGAGAAAGGAGAGAGAAGAAGCAGAGAGCAGGAGAGAGAAGGCAGAGGGCAGACAGCAGAGAGCAGAAAGTAGAAGCAGAAGTGGCAGAGGCTGGAGAGAACAGCCGGACAGCACAGTAAGTTGAAAAGCCTTTCGATTGTATTCATTCATTTCTTCACCCGATGATTCCGCGTGTTCGCCCGTGTCCCACGACCCCCGCGGAGGCAGGAACTCCCGCAACAGATGAAGCAACTCTTTTCAGATACTGGGCATTGGTCAGTGCCAACTTGATTTCTGAGAGAAACAGAGCAGACACATGCATCCTATGATGCAGTCCCACTTGTTAAAAGTACTCTTTATCACTGGAGTTCTGGTAGCATAGTGGTTATGAATCAGGCTGTGAACTGCAAGATAAGCAGTTCAAAACTACCAGCTGTTCTGCAGGAGAAAGATGAGGCTTTCTGCTCCTATGAAGATTTACAGCCTCGGAAACCCTGTACAGGGTCGCTATGAGTCGGAACTGACTCCACAGCACATAATAACAACAATCACTGGTTGAAATGTGAAAGACTCTAGTCTTGTTACTAGTTTCTTTCAGTCCTGTCTCAGTGAGATTTGTCATTTGTTTGTCTACTCAGTCGTAAAGAATAGCTCTTGACTTCATTTTTCACTTTACTGTTGGTGTGTATTACTGTTGCTTGTGTATTAGCTAATTCTATTCCCGTTTTTTATTCATTTTATTGACTAGATTCTTGACTGTTTAATTCATTTATGTTCTTATCTAATGATCTAAAATTTGTTATTCTTTGCAGTTGTAACTTAGGCCATGTTCCATGTGTTTTGATTGTTAGTGTTCTCATTGTCCAGTTTTTTGTTGTTGTTTTTTTAATTTCCAAGTTTACACTGTTTTAATCTCTTATTATAGAATGTTGCCCTGATGACACAGTGGATTAAGTACTAACTGGGCTAGGCTACTAACTGAAAGGTTGGCAGTTTGATTCTACCAGGAGAAAGATGAGGCAAAAACCCTATGAAAGTAGTTCTGCTTAGAATCAACTTGATACCAGTGGGTTTGGTTTTAGTGGGGTTTGGTTTTGTTTTTTTGTTTTTTAGCATTGTGGAAAAGGAAACAGGGAGGGTGAATTGAGATGATTTGCTCAGGGTCATTAATTTAAATAGTTCATTGAGAAGTATAACAAAAGTTTCTCTTTTTTCAAACTTAAACTGGAACCTTTGTAATAGCTAGTCACTAGAATTCCACTGAAGAAGAACAACGCAGCTGTTTTGGGTATGGACAGTGAAGATAAATAGGGGCCAGAAGGCTCAAAATGCTTTTGTGGGTTTGCCAGACATTTGGTCTTCTCTGGGGTCACTCCTTTTTTGTCCTAGTGTACTAGCTTGGGCCTCCTCCTCGGGAAACTGAGTTCCGAGAGCCTTTATGATAAGGTTTTTCTTCAACAGCTCTTATACTTCTCATTGCAAGTATGCAATTCAGTGGTGCATAGTGACTTCATTGAATGGTGTGACCATCACCATAACTCCATTTGGGAGCATTTTTTTTTTTTTTTTGCCCCCAATAAGACCCTATATGCTCATTTACAGTTCACCCCCTTTTTCAGCCCCTACACAGGTGGTTCACTTTCTGACTCTTTAAATTTACTGTTTCTTGACGTTTAATATAAATCATATAATATGTATTATCTTATGTCTGGCTTCTTTCTTTTAGCATGTTTTTGAGATTAATCCATGAAATAACATGTGTTGGTAAATTTCATTTTATTGCTTAAAGATATCACATTGTAGAAAAATACCCAATCATTGATTTTCATTAAGTCCATAATTTGTTTCAGAAACATTTTGATCCAGATTTGACATAAATGGGGTCAATTGTAATATTAAAATAGCTGTTTTTTGGGTTATAACTTTTGGTGACTTAACTCATTTCTTTTGATGAATATCTTGATAATTTGAAAAGGTTATGTCTTGTGTGTTTAAATAATGCAGTTCTTTATGTCCTTTTGAAAGAATTACTCAAGTATTCTATAAGCTTTATTATTTTTGTCATGTGATTGGTAGTTCAAACCTACCCAATGGCACCTCGTAAGATAGTCCTGGTGATCCGTTTCTGAAAAGTGACAGCCTTGGGAACCTATGGAACTGTTCTACTCTGGATACATGGGGTCAACAAAGCCTATGTGTACAGAGTAACAACTGCTACAACAACCTCTCTGGTGTTAACAGCCACATTGCTAAAATTCTTGTTTTTCTAACTGGGTTTGATTTTACCTGATATGATGCCAGGTTTAATGGTCAATATTTGTGCCATTTCTAGAGAATACATCCTTGAGCGATGGAGCCTTCTGCAGTGGTAGGAACAGCTCCTGGTAAAAGCTGCTACAGGAGTGGAGGAATCCTCCAGAAAGGTGAGGTGCCAGGTAAGTTGGTTTCATTCTGGGTGGGGCAGAGTGGTAAATATTGAGCAAGTCCCCCTTTCTATGTGGCTAGCTTTTAAGCCTTTTTCCCTATGGTATGGTAAGAATCAGCCTGTCTTTATTTTGGCGAACTCCCTTCAGTTATTTTTGGTAAATACAGGCAGCCTTGAGTGGTTTCCAGCCTGTCTGGAAACTAGTGAAAGGAGATGGGGATAAGACGCTTGTGGTTCAGTAGTGAATAATTCTGCTATCAGGACTGATTGTGAGTGTTGCAAATGTAAATATAGATGTTTTTAACAAAAGGAAGGGAGTGGTTGATCTTGCAGTCTGGGAGCGGAGGACCCTGGGACCATCAGGGCAAAGAACAGAGTGTAGGATCTTATCCATAGAATCAGTGATACCAGAGATGGAGCAGTTGGAGACCCTAGACTCAGGGAAGGAGAGGGCTGTGTGCTGAAGGCCAGAGAGCAAGTTTGCAAGGTGTGCCCTTTGGTTGTTCAAATGATTGTATATTTCTGAGTGTTTTGGTTTACATCCCCCCCCCCAAAAAAAAAAAAAAAACAGAATGGAAGCAAATTCTGTTTAATGATGATCCATAGAGGAAATTGTAATCATTGCAATGAAATGAAATACAAGATAGGATGAGTGTAAAGCTGATGTTCCCCCATATAAACTATCACCCAATTCACAATAAAAACTTACGAAAATACAGGCAGCCTTGGAGGACCTCTCCAGGAAAGGTTAGAGGAGGGAAGATGAACAGGAAGGTTGGGTCTCTGTCCAGCCAGGCTTTAGAGAACTGCTCACAGATGGCATGTACCTGTTAGTATATGTGATGTAAACTATCAAGAGGCATTCTGGATTAAGGCACAAATCTTATCCTCCTTGTCATATTTAAAACAGAAAAGCAAGGTTCAAGTAAAATGATGGGTAAGTTAAGAGACAACTGAACTTAAAGACTAGGACAGATATTGTTAACAGGCAGAGTAAAATCGGTGCAGAAAGCATAAGAAGGTAAATGTGGTGGTGGTGGTAGTAATGACGTGCCGTCCAGTCGATTCTGACTCATAGTGACCCTGTACAGGGTTTCCGAGTGGCAGCTGGTGGGTTTGAACAGCCAAACTTGAGGTTCACATTCCAGTACTTAGACTCCAGTGCCACACCAGGAATCCAAAGAGGGTCATACTCATAAACAATGAAGGTACCAGTCAGGAGTCCCAGTGTGCCAAACAGTATGTTTTGTTTTGTTTTTCATGTAGTCTAGTGTGATTGGAAATCCACAGTGCTGCTATCACAGAAACACCACAAGGGGGCGTCTTAAATGATGTGATGATGGTGTGCCATGCAGTTGGTTCTGACTCATAGCAACCATGTATAGGGTTTCTGAGGCTGTAAATCTTTATGGGAGCAGAAAACCTCATCTTTCTCCTGCAGAACTGCTGGTAGTTTTTAACTGCTGACCTTGAGGTTAGCAGCTCGATTTGTAACCACTATGTTTATTCTCTTAAAATTTAGGCTAGAAGTCTGAATTCAGAGTGTTGACTCTGGAGAAAGGTCATGACTCCTTTCAGCATCTGTAGGCTCAGAAATCAGTGGTGATCCCCAGGCCTCTTGGCGTCAGTTTGTCCTTGGATCTGGGAGGTTCTCAGTACAGGAATTCCGGGTCAAAAGAGTAGACCCCACTCCTGGCTCTTCTTTCTGTTCCTTTTGTCTCCTTTAATCTTTGTAAGATGAAAGGTGTTTCAGACCATCTCTGGAAAACTTCCTTATCAGATCAGGGTTGTGATGGGATTCAGGGTATTGCTTTGTTGTTGTTGTTAGGTGCCATCGAGTTAGTACCAACCCATAGCAACCTTGTGTACAATAGAACGAAACACTGCCCAGTCCTGGGCCAACCTCACAATTGTTGCCACACCTGAGCCACTTTGCCAATCCATCTCGCTAGGGGTCTCCCTCTTTTTCTGACCCTCCACCTTACCAAACATATCCTTCTCCAGTGACTAGTCCTTCCTGACAATAGTCCCAAGTATGAGAGACAAAGTTTGGCCATCCTGGCCTCCAAGGAGCACTCTGGCTGCACTTCTTCCAACACAGATCTTTTTGTACTTTTGACAGCCCATTGTACTTTGAATATTCTCCTCCAAAACCATAACTCAAAAGCATCAAATCTTTTGTGCAGCCCACCCTTAATTATCTTATTGTGTATTACATCCCATCACATGTAGATTCATCACATAACTGTTACATTACATAATTCCCAAACCACTGAGAATCACAACCCAGCCAAGTTAACATGCATTTGTTGTTATGTGCTATCAAGTCAGTTCCAACTCAACCCTGTATAGGACTTCCAAGGAGTGGCTACTGCCGACTTTGCAGTTCAAACTGACTTTGCAGTCTAATGTATTATCCTGCAGCACCACTCAGGACACCAAAGTATTTTGTGGTGGGGGTGGGTACATTCAGTCCATGACAGACCAGATCACATCTGAGACCCTCTCTAGTGCTTCAATTCTGTGATGTTGCTTTTATTTATATTTGATTATTGTTTTTATTTTTTAATCAGATTGGCCTTGTAATTCAAAGAAAGGCAAGTTAATAAAGTCCCGTGGTTGGAAGGAAGTCACACTGACAGTTCCTGCAGCTGATGGAGACTGTAGGTCAGAAGGAAGAGAGCATGGCAAAGAATGCAGCAGCATGGACCACAGAGACTGGTTGGAGTCCCCTTTAGCTAACCTAGAGAGCACACACTCAAATTTGAGTGAGTTTGAAGACAGTATGGACTGTGCTTTGTTGAATGAAACATACTCTGTGCATTATTCAGATGCAATTCAGAACCATGAAAGCCATATTGACTTAAGTTCCGAATTACAGCCTGACATGCAGACAAGAGAAGAGGTGTTGTTTAATATCTTGGAGCATCAGGGTCCTAAGACGAGTGGAGTGGAGAGACACTACCAGACTGCAGACCCTGACTGTGAAGAGACAGTGGCAGGTGTACTGACCTCTAGTGCGGATGAGGACTCCCTGCAGGAATACCATAGTGCAGAAGAGCCAGAACTGATACGTAACCACCCATCCTGTGACCAAACCAAAACAGTAGACATAGCTCACCTGGAAGTAGTTGGGTTCGGAAATTCAGGTTGTGAAGCCAACAGTCTAGAAGATGATAATCACATTAAATTAGGAAGCAGTTCTGTCTTCTCTCTGGAGTCACTTGATGTTTATGGACAAGATGTCTCCAAATTTCAGAGTTCTGTAATGTTAAGAAAATCCCATGAACAAAAGTATGAGAAGTATAAGGAACAAGAGGCCAGTTTAACGTACCACACGGTATTTGATGAAAGTATACAAAGCAGTACTCTTGAGAAGCAGGAATCTCAATCTGAGAGTGATTTCTTGAACCCTCCTAAAGCCCTAGAAGCTAACACCCACACTGGCAAAATGAAATCTCAAGTAACTGAAAGTAAGGATTTTTATGAAAACTTTGTTGAGAAAAGTAAGTTCCAACATTTTCACAATCCTAGTGCAGTATTACAACAGGAAAAAGCTTTGGAGACATTACTGCAGCCTTGCCAAAATTGTCAGAGCTCCTGGAATGCTGTCTTTGATGACTCAATCATTTCTGCCTATGGATCCTCACATTATAGCATGCTGCAAAGGGCCTCTGACCCAACCTTAGATTGTCTGGCTACTCTACCAAGGATTGTGGTCGAAGATAAGCAGGCGATGGAAGATAGCTCCCTAAGTGTTGCTGACAGCCACATCACAAATAGAACGTCCTCTCCCAATATGGAAGGGACATGTGACGGGTCAGTGATGGATGCTGCACGTTGTACAATGACAGTTAACCAGTCAGTGGATGTCAGCACTGATTTTAGGGCTTGTTTCACAATCAGCAGGGCAACAAGTGCAAGGCCCTCTGTGGTGTCCACCTCAAGCAACACAGAGATAACGATGATGAACAAGACACGTCCCAGCCAGTGGCAGAATGAGAAGCTGAGAAGTGTGGCCTGTAACACAGATTGGTCATACCGCCAAGACTGTGTAGACACACAGACGGCTGTGATGAGAGGACCGGGAAAACCAGTCTCCGTGGACAGTTTCAAACCCAGTGGACATGTCCTAAATAAGGTAAAATCCAGTGAAGTGCATTATAAAATGGTATCTGACTTTGTAAAGAGGTGGTGTATGCTAATGTAAATGCCTTGGTTTCTTGGGTTATAGCCGGACCCCTGGAGTCTTTGTGATAAAATGGCAGGTAGCGGGGAAGGGTGGAGAGGTTGCCACCAGCTCCTTCCTCCACTGGCACCTGTGCCACAAAAATCAATACCAAGTTGGGTTTTACATTTTGCCAGTTTGGAACCCCAGTATAGGATATGTTGCTATTTTCAGGATTCTCTGGAATTAAGAAAAACACCTGAGATCACAGATTTGAAGAAACATCCTGAGAGGTAGGTCAGTTGTCAAAGTTTGCAGATGCATGTGAGAGGAAATCAAAACAGTATTTGCTTTCTGTTTGACATACCTCAGCATAGAGAGTCATCATTAGAGGGATTTTAAGAAGTGACTGCTTTGGCCATTTGCTTTCAAACCAATATTAAAACAGTATCAAATATTGAAGCTCTACTTCACTTCATAGATTTTCAGTGTCAATAATTCCTTCAAATACTCATGGCAATTTATCATGACTTATGCAAGCCAAATCCATACGGATTTTAATTGCATTTTCTTTTCATTTGATCCCTCAAGAGACCAAAACAAAATAGCATCTTTAGACGTTTTCCTATATTTGAAACGGTAAATAGCTACTTCCCTGTGGTGGTATAATCCTGATTTTAGTTCATTGTACGATTTACTTTGCATTTAATAGAAAACAGCAGATAACCAGAGGGTGGAGGAAGCAATCTGAGAAGCCAAATTAGTTATCATGATCTAAGGTCATTCATTTTTCTGCTTCACTCTTCTGAGTTTAACCTGACATTCCAACCTTGTAAAATTAAATAGGAGAGACTGAGCATTTGGAACAGCTCTAAGCAATGACTGGTATCCAGAAAAGACCTCCAAAGACTATTCACACTCAAAACACAGTTACTTGGGACTCTGGTATAGTGGTGAGGGCTGTCAGTTTTGTTTCCACTTAGTGGTCCTATAAGGGGGTTTCTGAGACTAAATCTCTATGGGGGCAGAAAGCTTCATCTTTCTCCTGCTGTTTGATACAGTAGCACAGCAAAATGTCTGCCTATATTAATGACTCTTAATTATTAACAAAAAAAAGAAATTTCTACTTAATTTCTTTTAAAACGTACTTTTTTTTTTTTTTCAATTTCCACCAAAATGCTCACAAATTTTAAAAACTTTGGCCAAAGCTTGATCTAGGCGGAAAATCCATTGATTCTAGATAAATAAAAACTTTGTCAGAATGTTACTTTTTTGTAAAAAAAAAAAAAAGCCAAGGATTTATAGAAAATGTGAATTTGAGACTTGTTTACTTTCTTCTTGACATCCTTCTTTTCTGAAAATTGTGTTGCCTACAGTGTCTTCTGTCTATCTTGTAAAGTGTATTTTAACTTGATAGCAGACTAAGAAATTGTAAAACTCTTCAGAGCTTTGTCCTCAAATGGAGAGAGTATGTGTTCAAACCCAGTGCTGTCTTTTCTCTGAAAGGGGATGTCGGCTTTCTAAAGAGCTGGAGAAGAGCTGGCCCTCTAAGTGCTGTCAGGAGATTATGCAGAGAGCCCTCAGAGCTGAGATGTACCTTCTGAACGCTCACTATCAGATGTGCCACTACCATTGTTGTGACATCTACAAACTCCTGCTGGAAAACAAGGAAGGAGAACATCGGTGCTTAGTACCTGTATCTTCCTGGAAGTTATTCTAGAGCATGTCTTTAAAGACAGTCTGAGGGGTAGAGGGTAGCTAGTAGCTGGGTTTGTTAGCTGACCTGTGGGTTGTTGTTGTTAAGTGCCTCGGAGTCATTTAGACTCATAGCAACCCTAGGGTTTCTGAGGCGGTATATCTTTGCAGGAGTAGAAAGTCTCATCTTTGTCCCACAGAGTGACTCATGAGCTCAAACCGACCTTGTGGTTCACAGTCTAGTGCTTATTGTCCAGAGCCACCACGCTCCTGTGGATAATGGACTTTTAAAAGTTATACCTCTGAATTTCCTGGAGGGGCAACAATGCCTGCCTGGGAAGAAGAACTCAGTGAATAGGACTTAGATGTGTTTTTAAAAGTTCCACATGAGCATGGAGTTAGTTGGAAGGTTTTTTATGACATTCTAACACCTCCTCTCTGGCTGACGTATTGAGTGTTGCTTGCATTGCCACTAGAAAAACACATTTAGGGATTCTAGTTCCTTGGATTTTACTAAGCATTTAAATGAAAACTCTTTAAAGATCCTGGTAGAGTTAGAGCTAAGGGTCTGATGTGTTTGCATTAATGGGTAACTTAAGTCTCAGTAATTTCGTTTCGAACAGGAACTTACCAAGTAATTCTGCCAAGAAGGAATTGGGGACAGTGCTGCTGTCTGTCTTGGGAGACATAAAAGCTCGATACGTGAGCCTGAAAGAAAAAATCAGCAAAGGCATCCCCCTGGATGAACTGCCCCCTTTTTCAGTAGAGTCCAAATTGTTGTCTACCTTATCTGCTTTCACTTCCAAGGTACGTATGAGCATTTGGAGAAAAACGTTTCTATTTGTTTAGACAGAAAGCACTATAACCAAATATTTTCCTTCTCTTTTCTCTCTAGCTAATAAAAGAAGAAATACACGTGTAAGTTGTCGTTTCCTTCCATTTCAAATTCATTAGGTCTTCAACAGTGCTTAAATCAGTTGAGTTGTGTCTTGGTCTTATTGAAGACATTGGTCAGTTCTTTAACAGCAGGTTGATGTGTTTAGCTTTACAGGAGCCGATTCTGGACTTGAAAGGCAGAGTGAGCAAGATGATGGCGACTCTTCGAGCCTGAAAAGGGCCCTCTCACAAGTGAGATGTTCTTAACATTGATGGCCTCAGCAGAGCCCCCTGTAACTCTCAGAAGCCCTCGTCTCCTTTGTCTTGATTAGCTTACTTGGTAGGCTACCAGAAGAACAAACAAGTTTGTTTTAGAACAACAGCCAGAATAGAAGGCTCCTTAGAAGCCAGGATGACAAGACATGATTTGATGTTCTTTGGGCATATTATCAGAAGAGCCCAATCCTTGGAGAAGTGTACATCCTGCTTGGTGGAGGGTCAGCGAAAAAGATGTAGCTGAAACGTACCAATTGTGAGGATGGTGCAGGACTGGGCAGTGTTTGATTCCGTTGTGCAGAGGGTCCCTGTTAGCTGTAACTGACTCAGTGGCACTTAACAACAGCAACAACTGGTTAAAAGGAACAGGATGGTGAAGCGAGACCATATTGCTGATCATCAAGCTACCAAACTTGTGATGGGGGAGGAGGGGGTGTTAATAAGTCACCTTGGAAAATAGGGAGAAACCTGGTCCTTCCCAGGCAAACCGTGATGTATGGCCACAGTGTGTTGAGGCGGTGCAGTTCAAACTGGATCTTGTCCCTTCCTCTCATGAAGTCAAAATAATTTTCCATTCATGTCAGATAGGACCCTTTTTTAAAATAATGAAAATAGTTCTAAAGTAGCTTTTAGAGGTTTCCTCATTTCATGCTTCCCAAAGGATTTTTGCTAGATGACGTATTTATGTAGATCACTCTGCAAATTGTGAAGCAATATAGAAATACAATTCATACTTTGTTATCGAGCAAGGTGACAGGATTAGAAAACTGAAGTTTACTTGAATTTTCTGATTTCTATGTAAACCTGAGGCTTCATCATTCTAATTTTAATCTTACCCAAGATACATTCCAAAGCCAAAAAATTAAATGCCTAATTAATTTGTTTCTGTTAAAATAATGATTAAAAGTAAATTTGCATAACAAATTATTTACTACTCTTACAAAAAATGAATTCATAATTATTCACAAAGAAGTAGTAGATCCACACTGAGGTGAGTTTTTTCTTGCCTTGATAGATTGTTCTGTAGTTCATCTGAGAAACTTGATAGTTTAACAATACGCTGTGTTCTTAAGGTGGTTGTTTGTTTGTCCCCCACCCCCACCTTGTAATGGTAACAATTGCTGGTATAGCAATAATGGAAGCTTACGTAGGGAAAACAATCATTATTTTCAGATATACAAAAAGCAGATGTAGCTTACTTCTATTATCTTATAATTTGGGTTATAAAACAATGTTTTAAGTTGAATTTATATTTTAATGTTGTTGTTGTTGTTAAGTGCCGTGTAGTCGATTCCAACCCATAGCAACCCTGCATAGGGTGTCTGAGGCTGTAAATCTTTACGGGAGCAGAAAGCATCATCTTCCATGGAACCACTGGTAGTTTTGAACTGCTGACCTTCAGATTAGCAGCCCAATTCATTACTACTCTGCTACCAGAGCTCCTAATGTTGTTTGTTGTTGTTAAGTGCTGTCAAGTCGGTTCTAACCCATAGCAGCCCTGTGTAGGGTTTCCAAGGAGCCATTGGTGAGCTTGAACCATGGACCTTGCAGTTCAAATGGCTTTGCAGTCTGGTGCATTAACCCATAGCTTAGGTGCCATCAATCAGTTTTGATTCATAGTAACCCTGTATAGAGTTTCCACGACTGTAAATATTTATGGGACCAGAAAAAACAGCAGAGCGGCTGGTGGGCTCGAACTGCTGACATTGTGGTTTGCAAGTAAGTGCCTGTCCTCCAGAGCCTCCTCTTTCCCTTTTATATACGTCATTAAAAGAGATTAGCTGATTGTGTCTCAAAACCCAGGAGAGTGTAGTGTACTACAGTTGATGTATTGGCTTCACCTTTTGCAATATCTGCATATTATCTGTGATGTTACTTCCTTTGATTTTCTCTTCAAATGATTGTCCTTTGGAAAAGATTTCAGTGTAAGGACTAACTCTCAATTGTAAGGGTGAGAGCTACAGTGAAGAGTGTGAGAGCTTTGGACCTTAGGGGCCTGCCTTGTTTTCCCACAAGTTCTCTGTCTTTGAAAGGATACAGTCTTGCCACTCTTCTATCACTTTCTTACTGGAAAATACATATTTTTCTTCTCTGATACGTTTCCAACCTACACAGGCTCTGGCTTTGGCAGGTTTTAATACCTTGTTTATTCGGTGCCTCCTTGTTACCCTGTGTACAACGAAACAAAATGCTTCCTGTTTCTGGATCATCCTCACAAACGTGGCTTTGCTTGAGTCCATTGTTACAGCCACATTGGGGGTCTTACCTTTTTTCTGACTTTATCAAACATGATGTCCTCTAGAGACTGGTCCTACCTGACAACATGTCCAAAGTACAGAAGACTAAGTCTCACCATTGTCACTTCCAAAGAGCAATCCACCAAAACAGGTTTGTCTGTTCTTCTAGAACTCCATGGTATAATCAGTATGTGTCACTAGCACCATAATTCAAATAACATCAGTTGTCTGGTCTTTATTCCTCATCAAGCTTTTGCATACGTATGAGGCGATAGAAAATACCATGGCTTGGGCCAGGCCCACTTTAGTGTTTAAAGTGACAGCTTTGTTCTTTAACAGATTTGCCCAAAGCAATATGTCCTTTGATTTCTTGACTATTGTTTCCATGAGTGAGTGTTGATTATGTTGCTATTGTTAAGTGCCATCGAGTCGGTTCTGACCCATAGCGACCCTGTATAGGGTTTCCAAGGCTATAAATCTTTACAGGAGCAGAACACCTCATTTTTCTCCTGTGGAGCAGCTGGTAGTTTCGAACTTCTGACCTTAAGGCTTGCAGCGCGATTCATAACCACTACGCTACCAGAGCTCCTTGAGTGTTGATTATAGATCCAAGTAAAATGAAATCTTTGACAGCTTCAATCTTTTTTAACTTTTATTGTGAATTGAGTGATAGTTTATAAGAGAGCACATCAGTTTTGCACTCATTCTATCATTTCATTTCATGGCAATGATTATAATCTCCATGCGTCATCATTCAACAGTATTTGCTTCTATACCCTCTGTTTATTTATTTTTTTGATGTATACAGAAACACTCAGAAATATATAATCATTTAAACAACCCAAGGGCACATTCTACAAGCCTGCCTCCTGGCCGCCAGCACACAACCTTTCTCTTTCCATGAGTCTAGAGTCTTCAGCTGCTCAATCTCTCCAGGTCCTCATCTCTGCCTCCTCTCTGATGTAGCTGCTTCTCTGGATAAGGTCCCACATTCTGCTTGTGTTCTTCTCCCTTGATGGTCTTGGGGTCCTCTGTTCCTGGATTATAAGATTAACTCCTCCCCACTTTAACAAAATCTCTACCTTTACAGTTGTGACAACCACAATTGACAACTTCAGTCTTTATGCTTTTATCATGTACTGCTGTAACCATTTTGAACTCAGCAAAATTTTACTTGGATGTCATATTAACAAATATTCTATGATTTCTGCATTCCACTGGGTCACCTTTCTTTGGAATAGACATAGATAGGGATCTCTTCCAATTGGTTGGCCAGGTAGCTGTCTTGGAAATTTCTTGGCATAAACAAGAGAGTAATTCCAGTGGTGTATCAGTTGTTGTTTTTTAATATTTTATTGTGAATTATGTGATAGTTTACATGGGAGAACATTAATTTTACATTTATCCTATTGTATATCATTTCATTGCCATGGTTACAATCCTCTCCATGCATCATCAACCAACCAAAGGGTATAACCCGCAAGCCTGCCCCTCAGTTGTCAACACAGAGCCCCTCTCCCTGTCTAGGTCTAAAGTCCCCAGCTGCTCCATCTCTCCAAGTCATCATCTCTGCCCCCATCTCTGGCATTACTGCTTCTCTAAGTAGGGTCCCGCTTTCTGCTCTTCTCTCTTGATGGTCCCAGGGACCTCTGCTCCTGGACTGCAAAGTTAATCACTCCCCTCCTTGCTACATAATGTCTACCTTTACATTTCCAACCTTCACAATCAGTCCTGATAACAATTATTCATTATGTATCACAAGAAACCTATCCCTGTCTCCTTTCATCAGCCCCACCTAGACAGATTGGATACCACTCAGTGGAGATTCTACCTTTCTCCGAGCCCTCTGGATCTAGACTCCCTCTTGAAAGCTTGTAAGCCAGTCACTTCTTGCCTTTGTAGCTCCTCCCCTCATTTTGGGTAGCCAATGTGCAAGTTGCCCATCCCTGTCTACTCTGTGTATGGAGGGGATGGGAATGATCCTTGCTGTAAAGATTTGTTCCCTCTTTTGAGCTACTGCATCCAAAGGTGTAGGTCTAGTTCATAAAATTGTATCCGATTATTCTTTTTTTACTCTTCTTTCTTTTAGTTGAGCTCTGATCATTCAGTCATTGAGGCCATGTCAAGTGGGTATTATCTGCAAGTGTGGGTGTTCTTATGCATATGCCCTCTCTTCTTATCAGTTGGATGCTTCACTCTCCACTCTAGTCCTCTGTGGCTAAGTCACTGACTCTGGGCCCAAGAGTCCCCAGGTCTTGCCACACTGCTGGCCAA